TTTTATTATCCAGATAAAGGCAGGAACTAAGACAGCTAACTGCCATCAGAAAACCAATGCAATTTGGTAAAAATATACCTTTCACTGTAGACAGAAATTTGGGGATAGAATTAATAAAATTGGTTAAGTGTATTTAGTGAAAACTGTTATGTTAATGAGAAACTATATAGTCATAAAAGGAAATTCTTAATATTCAGCAATAAAAAAAAATTGTTCTACAAAGTTTAACCATTCAGCTTTTTCTATAATTTTGTTTAAACTTTCTGAAATAACCTAAACAACATTGGTTTAGCTATTTAGCAAGAAAAGTCAATCTTTGCCACAGGAGAAGTCCCTATTATTGTAAGGAACTTGATTTGAGTCCCCTGATGTCCTTTGAATTTTACTTCTCTTCTTTGCAGTAATTCAAACACACTTTTTACAAATATTTTACATTTAATTTAAAAGACAAAAAGACAGATGCTCCTTTATGGGATTACTTGCATGAATAATCTTGAGCATAACTGAGGCTGAATATTGTTAGAATATTTTTATTTTTAGCTGAGAAAAGCACGTGTATTTTCAGAGATGAAGTTGAAAGACTATGCTGAGCCTGACAGAGCTGCGTTGCAAACTTAACCACTAATTATAATGAAAGTCTGAAATGTCTTATAGGTAGGTGACAAGTTTTTCATTTACTGAAAAATCTTATTTTCACAAAAACTCTCTCTTCTGGCAAATTAGCTCGAAGGTGTTAAGATCTTGAGTAAGTTAGGAGCCATGCTACTCATGAGCCCAGAGATCAGAACTGCATATAACCAGATTTCCTGCAATTCAGCCAACAATACGCAGCCCACGCTGCTTTACACGCTCATTCAGCCTTAGAGGTCTTAGATCACAGTTTTAGAAAGTATTAAGGAAAGATGAAAACCCCACACATATGTTTTATATTTAATGTCTCACGCTGCAATTGTAATAAATACTAGGTAATTGCTAACAAAACTTCTGGAAAGGAGAATTTTTAACACAAAGCTTTTAGATATTTATGACAGTCCCACTCTTTATCAGGACTGCTTCCTACCTTCTGCACCTTCAAGCCTTAAACTAAATTGTCTGGTGCATATTTTTCTTTTTTGCTTAGTACCAGCAGCACTAACAGTTGCGCTGATAACGGGTTACTTGCTGTGCTGAAGCATATTTACTCTAAGAGCTCTAGTTAAACCTGAAACACGTTCATTATTAGAGATTTAAATTAACTTTTGTGAACTTATCTCACCTTACAGGACCATAAAGTAGGGCAACTCTCACATGAGCGTGCTTGAGATTCAACCTGAGGTGTTTGCCACCATTTCAGACCATTACCTCTCTGCCATATTCCAGGCTAATGTGCTGCCACAATTTATTTTGAGGAAGTTTGGCAGTGATCTCTAGGTCGCTGACAATAAACTCAGGCCAGTAGAGAAAGCACCAGGTCTGGGCAAGGAGCTGGCTGATCTGGGTGGAAAGTCTCACATTGCAGCAGCTGTCTCTGCTGTATCTGACTCGTGAATAAAAGGCTTGTTTTCTAACCCGGCTTTCAGCTAAATTTTGGTAAACACAGACATTTACTGAAATGTTTAAAACAATTTATCTGACTCCTGAATGAATGGTTGTTTTCTCTGGAACAGAGTCAAAGCCTGAAGCTCTATTCAGAGAAAATTTCAAATGATCAGCAAACGGTGGAAATTTCTGTCTCCATTTCTGATCTTTGCAATGTCAGCACTTCAGATTTTCAAAGTTAAAAAACAGCACCCAAGGTACTACAAGACTTCAAGGGTTTTTTTTTCACCTCCCTTCTTTTCTTAAGGATCAGAATTCAGAGGAGGGAATGCCTCCATTAAAGATGTCACAATCTGACAGCCAAGTAGCAGTTAATTGGATACAAAATCTGATCTTAAAATGCCTTTCTTCCCTTCAGAGCCCACTTTATGGAGGTGCTGAGCTCCTACACTTTCACATTGTAGATTCTGAGAGGAAATGCACACTGCCCTCAGCTTTTCAAGGGAGGAGTCCAGTGTTGGCAGCTATTGACAAAGATGCCAGGACAGTCCAGAAAGGTTCCCGGTTGCCCACAGTATCTTCCAAAACATGGCAAGCCATCTTGGTGGCAAGCCAAGATGGCAAGCATCATGGTGGAGAAAAGCACAATTAGCCCCTAACACCCTAGTTTCAAAGAATGTACATTTTTCCTCAGGCAAACCTGTCTCTCCTGGTAAAACAGAAGAATTACATTTACAGCTTTCCCAGTTTATTTTGTAAGTCTCTAACCGCTGTCAACACAAGGCTTCTCAGGTTCTTCAGCAATGAGTTCAATGAGCAGTCAGCAGTTTTGTATTTTCCTAGCTGTTGATCTGAGGCATGGTGGAAGAAGAAAGGTAAAAGCTTCTCGCATCCTCCCCCTGCCTTCACATATCTGTTCACAGTCAGGCACGCTTCATCCCAAACGACCTGGGTTTAACACTGTGATCAATATAGAAACTATTTAATATGCTAAATCTAAGCTCATCCTTTAAATAGTCTTAAATAGTTTTAGATAGAAAAAAAATATCAGGGAAGAATTGCAAAAGGCATGAAGCCAGCAATCGGGCAAGCCATCAGTTGTGTGCTAAAGGGCTGCACTGCCTCATGCTCAGAGGCAAAATCAGCTTCTTACTTTCTTCACAGCTAGATCAGGCAATTGATTCAGCAGACTTCTGAAGCTACCATTCCACAAAATCCATTACCTGAGTTTTAAAATATATGCCAGCAGATTTCCTTGCACCGCTGAGGAAAAGATTAAAATGCAGTCATGCAATCTATTATGTGGTTGGATAGCACAAGTCTTAAAAATGCTTAACATTCGGAATGAGTGGCTTTTGTTAAAATGAATTTCACTGGCGGGTGGCCTATATGTTACTGTGGCAGGAGCATCTGCCCTCTTTGAGCAGTGCGAGTGACAGTCAAAGTCTACCAAGGAGGGATGGAGGACAGATTCCAAAAATGTTTCCAGGCTTCTAACACCAACTTGCCAACAAAACGAAAAAGCAAAGAGTGTTTTTATAAAGGGATGCTGATGGTGCCTCAGGCTGACGAACTGCCTTTTGAACAAAATGACTACTGACCTCAGATAGCTACTTTTTATTTCCTTTTAGTTATTGCTTTTGTACTGATCTGTGTATGTATATATGTACATGTGCATACAACTAATAAATTTCTTAAAAAACATCCTAAGGCAAATGGAAATGCAAGGTGATTTCTTTCTATTAGTTTTTCAACTGACACAAACAACAGGAATTAGATCTATTCATTTCAGTTCTGCTTGAAGTGAAATTTCACTGGCTGTACATATCACATCTTAAACCGCACAGGCGGTACAGAATTATTACCAGCTTTTACACAGCCAGTCAGTCATGAGAGGTGTCAATCACTGCACGTTCCATTTCAGATGAGAACAGGCACTCAGAGTGAAGTACAGCCTGTACCGCTCATTTTTAACATTTTCAAGAAAGAAAATGTGACAGCACTAACAAAATAACAATGTAGTAGAAAACCCACCCTGCCTTCATTTCTGCAAAACCCCTGTCCCATTGACAGACAAGAAAACAAAAGTCCATCCACACAGCACACAAAGCTGTTGGGACTGCATTCCAGCTCTGCACACCTGAAGGTCAAAACCTGCTCAGCTGACACAGGGACCTCTTTGGTATCTCTAGATATACAGCAATTAAGAAACTCTTTGCAACACCATTGAAATCAGCTTATATCTGTATAGCAGAAGTCATTATTAAAATTTAAGGCTATACAAAGTAACACTGATAGCCCCTCCTCCTTCGATTATTGATAATTTACAAGCTTCTCTGTTCACAGGGTTTTGCATGACAAACAGTAGTAAAGCACAAAAGAAATCAACACAGCCCTGTCACACAGAAAAATCCTAGCCCTCCTTGGATCTATCTGACCTCAGCTAGTACTGAAACGTGTCGTGTGGCAGTCGTTCAGAGCTGTGTTCTCTACAGCTCGTCCACACCCCGTCTTGTACTCTACTGCCCCTCCAAAACATTGTCAAAACATCCTCTCTCCCTCTGTTCTCCAGAAGCCACATCCCTCTCTCGTTTTGACGTTATGTCTGGCCTGCAACATCTCACAGCAGATCACCAAGCTGTCCTGTCACCACTGTGTCATTGAACCCTCCGCAGGTTCAAGTGTGGCTGAAGGTAGAGCCCAATCAAAGCGGATCTCCACGATAGAGAGGGTGAGAATTAATTTCACCTTTTTGTCTTCTTAGGGAGGTGTCAGTGCGTATGCAGAGATCAGTATCAAACAAACCGACCACCTCCCTAGATTCTGTGTTTCTCATTCAGCGTTTGTAGAACCACCTACTGCCACGCGACCTTGGTCTGTGACAAAGGCTGACAGGCATCAGGATTGTTCAGCAGTTGTGAAAAATTAAAACTTACTATGAACAGCTTATCCAGCATTTTTGCCACCTTCTTAATCCAAAAAAAGCAACAAAACCCAACTGAGAACTGAGATCAGAGCCCTGGTATAATGAACACTGTGCACAACTTACCAGTAGGAACATTAGAGGCTTGGGCTCACTGAATTGCTCCATTTCCCAATTCTCCTCTGAGGCTGAACAGTTACAGACATAGTTTCAACCTAAAAATCTGTCTGAATATTCACAGTGATAAATACGGGCAGAATTGTTATGTCTAATCACTACACAGTGCAAATCCAACTCGGTACTAAGGATGGTAATTCAATGGTGGCAATCTGGGACTTGCTGTCAGCTTATAGAAGATCAAACTGCATCACTGAATTCATCAACACCACTCTACGTACTAAAGCTGACCAAACTAAGGTCCAGGCAAGACAAAGACAGAGGAAAAAAATGCAAGTCAGAAGATGCCTCAGTCTCCCACTTTTCAAGCATCCAGTTTGAACATTAGCCTTACGTAGTGATGCTGGGAAATCAGTAATCAGAGTCTTTTATTTCAACATACCAGGTATCTTTCCTCCTGCCTCATGCTGGGGGTACGGATCATGTGATTCTGTTCTCCTCTCCAGTCTCCGAAACGTCGAAAAAAGTAGTTGGATAAAAATCGATTAACAGGATCTCTAATAATATTGATGTACACCGGCTGGTCTCCTCCAAACCTGGTGAGAAGAAAAATGGGTGAGTCTCATCAGAAAGTTTCGCACAGGCACACGTGTCCATCTTTCATCTGAAATGTTTTCAAATTACTCTCTACAGAAGTTCAGAGCTTTTACAAGGCCAGGAGAGAAACTGCGAAGCTTACAAGTAGTTACCAAAACTTTGTAAAAGCATGTAATATCTTTTTACGATGAACAGTAAATATGGCATCACATTGAGCTACACGTGTACCACAAACATTTTAGTTTAAGACCATTTTTCTCACTGTGTCAAAAGTTTTGCTTGAGTTCTCCTTGCTGTTTTCAGATGAAGAACCTTCTGCAGCTGAATGTGAGGATGAGTATTTTTTTTTTGAACACTCACTTCCCATCTGGGAAGTCATTTCAGAGCAGGCACCACCTAACACTAACTGCCGTAAGGCAGCCTTGGATCAAGGCAAGCGTAGTAACATGCAAAGGATTTTGCAGCATTAAAACTTATTTTGAAAGGCTTCCTTTGGATGAACTGACAGATATGCCTGGTATTTCCATCTTTATATTTGCTGGAACTTGTGTAGATCTCCCTTCCCTCACCCCTAGTTTGCACCAATGGCTGGATCTGAGGTTATTTCATGGTTAAGCAATGCCTTATCCTTGTACTGCACTTCATGAAGATATTTTTATTTTTTTAAGGTCAATATGAAATTTCTTTTTTGAAGCAAGAATTTAAGAACCAATTTCAAGTACACACATGTCCAAGGAAAAGTAAAGAGTAAAATCAGCTGTGACCAGGCTGCGCACAAAAGCGAAATGCAGCACAGGTACCTACAACTTAGAGATGAGATGATAAACCAGAGTAATATCATCGGCTTAATTTTACCCTCTTGTACAACTCCTCCTGGTAGTTAACAACAAACATCTTCAGTTTAATAGGTGGGATACAAAAAGAGCAAAGGAGGAAAAGGGAGTTTGAGAAGGCTTGTAACTAGACTGTATTTTCACAGTATTAAAATATTGACCGCGTGTTTTACGTCAATACACAGCATCACAAGAACAAGTCTAACTGGAAAGAAAAAAAGGAAAGCTGCTTACACTCTTCCGTGGTCGAAATTGAGGAACAAACATTTATGCTATGGCACAGACTTATGCACTACAAATGCTGTGAGATAAAGAAAAAAATAAAATCTTTCTGGATTGAGATGTTCATAGGATAATCGTGAATTATGTTTCTCCCTTCTGTTTCCCCAATTTAGGAGAACAGTTCTTACTTAAGCAGTAGCTTATGCTTTATTTTTGGGAACTTGAGCACATAGCCATATTTAAGTATTCAAATGCTATTCTGATGATTTTCTGAGTTACAATTTCCATATTTTCTTTTAAAACGTGAAAGATTAGGAGAGAGAAAATTAAAGACACTCTTTAGATTAAAAAAAAAATTCCTCGTCTTCTCTTCCTCTTTTAAGTCAGATGAATAATTGAATATGTATAATAAAAGATCAGGGCTCCTCATAAATATTAAGAAGCCAGTAAAATTGTTTAAAAATATGAATTCTAGTAAAAGACAAGAGAAAAATCCCCCACAGTTTCAACTTGATTTTTATTCTGCATGATTCCCCAGACCACTAAATACAGTCTGCAAAGGCTTGCCTCATGAATAACTATGTATATCAGTAATCTCACTGACCTCAATGTTGCAGGATCACTATCATAATTTGAAATTGCACAGAAAGCATAAAACCTTAAAACAATCCAATTAAGAAGGCAGATGCTCCTTGCTTCCCAGTTAGCACACAGCCCAGTTTGGCCATGAGTGTGTAAGGGCGGTATCCTGAATTCTTCTCCGAGCTAGTCTTTGCTGCTTTTTGTCTTTATACAGAAATAAAACCTACATTAAAAAGACATTCCTGCAAATACAATAGGACAATGAGGGCATTAAGCTTTGATGAAATTTATTCAAATAAAAAGCTTTTGGTGAATGCTGTGGCTGGTGGCCATGAAAACTAAATTTTTCAAGTGAAATTGCACCTAAATTACTGAACATGTTATCTTCCTGCTGCTTAATGCAGATCAGCAATAATCTGAAGAGAAGGGAGTGGAGAAGAGCAAAGGAAAGGGGGAGCAACGAAGACAGCAAGAAGTGATGACAGCAGCAGTAAGTTGTCCTAATCTAGAGACAGAAAGATGAAAAGATTCAGAGAAGCAAGAGAGCAGTGATATCCTGCCCGAGTTTCGTAAAGGATGCTAAGCCTAAATGCTCCTCGGAAAAGAGAAAAATCAAAAGCAGGCAGCTATTAGTTGTCTAGATGGAAATATTTAACACACATTGTCTTTTCTGAAGTAAAAGGAGGGGTTAGATTGCATAACCAATCCACCAAAGTGTCAGAGCCCATCCTTTTGCTGGTAAGGTCATGACCCTGAACATGTGAACTGTAAATTCAGTACCAACAGCTCTGAGAGAAGAGGTACATGCAAGCTCGTCTATCCTAACAGGACAGCTGAGATGAGAGGTCACTCTTTCACAAAGAGCTGTAGAGGAACACAGGGTAACAAACACTGTCCCCCCCCCCCCCCCCCCCCCCCAAATAACCCACAGGACAGCTCAGATTTCTAACCAGCCTGGTCTATGTCCAGCTGCAGTTGCTCCACCAGGCAACAAGCAGGGAATTTTTAGAAAAATTAAATCTGTTCTGGCTCTTATTCAAATCTGCATTTTTAAAAAAGATAGTTTATAATACTTCAAATTCCAATCATTTGTTTCTATGGATTGTACTGAGACTCTTTTATGGAAGCTAAGCAGCACTCACATGGCATAAAAAGTCCTACTGGTTACAAATCGATAACCTTAAGCTATTTACAGGAAAAAAAAAACAAAACAGGAAAATCAATGCTCCATTTGTTCAAGTATGTTCCACATATTTTTAAGTACCTATCAATCTCAATATATTAAATATTACTTAGCTTTCCAGAATGAAGCTTTTCAAATTAACAACACTCACATGAAAATGCTTTTGCAAACAAAAACATACTGTGCTCTCATTATACATCCTGTTACCTTATTTGTTCTCAAATACCTACTGTGAAGGATTCAAAAAGGGACATAATCATAGTTTCCTTTGCCTGGGCAGGTTTATCTTCTTTGAATGCGATCAAGATTGGATCCTGCACGATAAAGGTACCTGATGCTTCTCAGGCCCAGCAGCACATTGCCGCAACTGGGCAGAGAGGGCCTTGACACCACCGCTCCAGCTGAGCACTAAAAATGTATACACCAATCTTCTGCAGTGCTCTTCCTGTACTTTACTTTTCCTGGTTTATTTAGTATATATTATTAAATTCCACTAGTTTTAACTGTTCTGTTGTGACAGGTATATTTTTGGAGTCCCCATCAAAATAACTAGCCTATTTGCAGGCTTCTATCAATGACACTTAGGTTCGTTAACAATATATTCCCCCACCATATTCCCCCACCTCTTTTTTAATAAAAGGGAAAACAACCGCCTAAGTATGCCAGATGTTGCAAGTCCACCCCTTAGAAGAATGTCTCTGATGAATTCCAATTTTATTATTTACACGAGCAAAATCTTTGTTCAAAACCTTTTATAAACCCCTTATGAGTTTAAAAAAAAAAAAAACACACCAAAAAACCAACAAAGGAAATTAAAAAATTCAACCAAAGTGATTTGCTTGGTTGAAAAATGGAGGATATCTCTCAGCTCCTATTAGTTTTCATTCCAATTATTTTTAAGAAAGGTTAAATATAAAGGTATTCCCGTCACGTCACTTCAGGAGCCTGCTGAGCACATTTCCGTTGAGCACAAAACTCCTAGCACAAGCAGAAGCGGGCTTCCTCATCCCTGCGGGCAAACCACATTCCTCAAAGAAAAGACGACTTCCAACCTATTATCTGTAAGAACTTTGGCTGTCTTTTACTCTTTTAATGTAAAACATCTCCCTGTAAACAAATCAGTTGGTTGCTAGAAGTTCAATGTAACAGAAGCAAACAAGAACTGGCAGTCACCTACTATTAACAGGGGCAGGTATATTGTGTCCTTCTTAGAAAGGAAGCACGATTTCCTTCCACAGCTTCACACAACTGAGAATCACGTGCTGAGAGCATAATTGCCCAGCAAGCTTCACACGTCAATTATGTTACGGCTCCATTACCTGCTCTGCAGCACAGCTTCACGGGGAGATCTTGTAAAAGCACTCATGTACAACTTTCACCGTTTTAGGACTTCAATAAGACGCGGTTACATCAAAATCTATCTTCTGAAAAAGGTATCTTGAAATGAACAGATATTGTAACATCTTGTATTAACATGGAGCTGTGGTAAAGCAATGTGGTTCTGCACACAAGGCAGCAGGGCACCTCTGGGATGCTCCAAGGACTCTCCCTCAAGGATGAACTGCTTCGTTTCCTGCAAAGATTTGCAGAGGAGCAGGCTGAGGTTCTGCCTGCCTGGGACTACATGGTATTGCCAGCGTCCAAAATTAAGGAGTTTATCTCTTGTGGTTTTTCCCTGCAGAGGCTCGATTCCAGCTTTTGTGCCTTCACTCTACACCGTTGCTGTGTTTTCAAGCTTTTCTTTGGAATTAAGAGGGAAAAAAGGAAAGTGAGTCAAGATAAATCTTTTGGTTTCAAAACTGCATCCTTGGCTGGGCTGGCCTTGAATGGGAGGCGTGTGTGGGGATCCAAAATGCTCAGTGGTTCAAGGTTAACAGTAAAATAGCGCAAACTGGCAACACTTCACTCATTAATTACCCTTTCTGGAGCTGTGATTTCAACAGTAGAAATTTCAGCTTCTGAAGTGATGTGTCTGGGAAATGTCATTGTAAAAATCACAACTGAGTTCTCTGGGAATTGTTTAGTAAATCGCCTCAGACCAGTGAATGGCTAAAAGATTACACCATAAAGCCTATTTCACTATCCTGTAAATCTCCCAGAATATCTTATGTTGTATTTCTGTCAGTCTTTCACATTCACGTATGCAAAACAATGAGGGTTTTTTTCCTATGCCTTTCAT